TGTAAACTTAGACATTGTTTGGAGAGAAAAAAACACAGACATTTCTCAAAATATATTTTATGTTGCACAGAAGAAAGAAATGTTTGGAAAAAAACATCAAATGATGACAGAACTTTCATTTTTGGGTGAACTATCCCTTTAATGAACTTCTCACAGCTGCTGAATGTATTTCAGCAGTGAGGCGTAAAAGAACTTGAGGCACGGCGAGTTGTTCTGTGCCAGACAGATAGTCCACTCAAAACCCCGCTGGCACTGTGAAAGAGGACAGGCCTGCCAGCAGCTTGACAGCATTCAGTCAGCCTGTACCTTCAATTTATAAATAGGGCAGAACAACGAGCAGATTGCACAATCTTCTTCCTTCCTTTGCTGCCCTTTTTTTTGTTTGGAAAGCTACTGCATTCACTGTGTCTTAATATGTCTAAATATATGCATGTTATCCATCTTAAATAATAATGCAAGTTTTAGAATTAGTGCATCCCAAATCAAGTGCACAGACAATAGCAGCATGCAAAGGAATCTGGATAGTTTCATTTCTCTGGTGGATTTTCCAAGTGTTCGTATTCGTATATGTGTGTTTGTTTGTTTGTTTTTGGTGGGGGACTAATTTGCATACAAACCCGAGGAGAGGAGAGAGTTCAGTTTTTTAAGCAGAGATCAACAATGAGAATTGTTTTCCTACTTCAGATCGGCTGGTAGTTCAGGTTTTTACTTACCCTGCCACGAAAAAAAAAATCTATATATATATATTTTTTTATATATATATAATGATGGAAAGGTGTGTGTGATGAAAAGATGGATTTTGTTGATTCTGATTTTATTGATTGGTAACAGCCCTTTAGTGTCTTCTTACTCTATAGATATAATTTAAGAATTTGTATACATTTAGGCCTAATAAGGTTAGGGGGAAAAATGCCCATAGGGTAAAAATGCCCTGGAAATCAGTTTACGGGAGAGGATATCACAAATATGCTGATTTAAATAAACTGACAAAACACTGATGAGAACATTGCTTCAGAATAAATTAAACGTATCCTTTTTTTAAATATTCTGGACAAGTCAAGTCACCCTTATTTATACAGCGCTTTTTACAGTACAGATTGTTTCAAAGCAGCTTTACAGTGATAGGAAAATAGGAAACAGGAAAATAATGCAACAAAGTTTGTTTCCAGAAGAAAATAGTGTCATAGTCCAGCTTAAGTAAATTCAGTGATGGTTCATTTTTAATGTAAAAAAGCTATTAATTTAGTTCATTTATATAGCCGCTCTGGAGAAAACCGTGATGTCATCGTCCAGCTCAGTTCAGTTCCCATATAATGGTGTCAATGCAGGCAGATCAATATTATTGTTGAATATTAAATATTATTGTTGAATATTAAATATCCCCAACTAAGCAAGCCAAAAGCCAAAGGCGACAAGTAACTTTTTTACTCTGACAAGTGAACAACTGATTTACGTCGGAATGAACGCTTACATGCAAAGGCAAAAGACACAATTTTATTTCAGCAGTGAAGTGCATTTAGTGTGTAGTACAAGTATGTGAATTGGGATAAAGCCACTGTTGGATAGCATGCCTCTTTTGAGTATTTGCTTTTTAGAAGTGATTTGAGAGCATGCTGAATTATTTTTCACAAGGAATCTTGAAACAGATGATTTCAAAACCATTTTAGAGGGGATAATTATTAGTTGTGTTTGCTAAGCTAAGGCGTTTGAACAAAATTCAAACCTTATATATAACTCATAGCATCATGGCTAAGTTTTATACATGCAAACATCGCATTCATCAGTTTCAGTGTTTCCGTTAAATTAACATGATCTCTATTCACTTTTGCTAATAAGTGGTTTGAACCATAACAGAGACTGCAGCAGGTTATATAAGAACAATGCATTGTGTTTTTTAGTAGGTTATACATACAATGGGTGTCAGGTTGGGTTGAGCAGCTCACTTTGTTCACATTGTCATTCTCATTATACCTGTTTCAAAAGCCCCAAGAAAGAGAACACAGAACTAGAAACTAAAAGCTTTATCTGTCAGGTTGTGAGTGAGTAAGAATATAGGCTTAAAAGAAAGTCAGTTTAGAACTAGGAGTCCAAAGTTATTAACCAAAACAAGACAAAACAGCTGTTCCTTAAAAACTGTGCTGACCGTCGCTTGACCTGAACTTCACTTAACTTTCTGGTGTTAAAAATCTCAGAAAAGCTAAAAAAAAAAAAAAAAAGGTTACTAATGCAATTCCCAGCAGTTTTCAAAAACTTGACCATCTGTTGGGGGCTAAAACGAGCACTACAGGTCCAGGAATTTACACAAACACAAATAAGACCTGAAACCAGTAGCACACAAGATTCATTCTGTGAAAACAAGTGCCTGTTTAAAATGCGTTATCGTAATTCAAAAAGACAAGAATGTAATCAGAACATATACTTGACTAAACCTTTGAGGAACTAGTATTGACTTGTAGAGAAGGCTTGCCTAAAATCCTGCAGTGAATAGACTAAAAAAGCAATAGCCTGGGGTCACGTCAGGGAAGCTTACTGAAGGTGGTCACTCATAAGGACAACACCCCATTCAAATATTGTTCTAATAAATCTATTTTGGAATTTCCTTTAAACAATTCAAATTTTCAAAATATCTGTTATTTTAATTTCTCTTTTTTATGACAATAGTACTATTGTTGAAGTATCTCAACTAAACTATAGTTTCAATTTAAAATTATACAATTTTGTCTTTATATTTGGATTATCAAAATGAATTGTATAACCATGCACAGAACTAAAAACGTTTTGTCAGGTAAGCTAAAATGTGGAGCTTCTTCAAGGGCGTAGATTTGGTTTGAACATTGGGGGGGTTGTAATGTTTAATATAGTTAAAAAAAATTGTTCTACATATTTTCATGTGATCATGGTATAAATATTGGGGGGGTTATCTCCCCCCCAACCCCCCCATAAATTACGCCCCTGAGCTTCTTCATATAGTAACAGCTAAATTATTAGAAATAAATATTATGACTGTATCAATCTGACTTTTTAGGGTCAGGTTTGAAGGGTTAATCAGATAGAAATACATTTTCAGTGTGCATAACATTAACAAAAAGTACAATTGTATTAATATAGTTACCATGTTTTTTTATATATATATAAATATATACCATGATAATACTATGGTATGGTACCATACAACAAGTCTTTTTCTGTAAGTGTACTTGTGCAAATAGAATGGTCTTCTCTAATGTACAAAAGTAGTTACATTATTATAATAGGTCACAACAGACGGGACTGTTATTATTTCCATGTTTTACAGTAAGCGGCATATTTGTAAACTGATGTGGATTGAGTGCCACGTCCCTTCCCCTCCCCCAGTACATGACCCAAACACTGTAACTTTACTATACTAACTTCTCACTTCATACTTAACTTGTGCCTTTGTAAATGCGTCTTGTGTCTCTTTTCACCGCTGCAAATGATCTTTGACTGTCTTTGGCATGTTCATATTTTCAGAACAGATCTACAGAGGCAAACCTCTAATTATAACGCCAATGGATTAATATTAATCTAAATATTATGTTGGTGCTATGTTCTAATAAATAAGTACACACTTGACTATTACCGTTCATATTGCAATCAGCTAAGTTATTGATTGTAGGAATCTCTACAGTAGGAGAGGTTGGATTTTATGATCGCATCGATTTTTGAAATCAGAACGCAAGAGTGTTTTTCATCACCTGATCAAACCTACGCAGCACAATCCCCGGAAAAATATAGTAAAATGTCTTGAGAACCGGCCTTTTACTAGCGAGAAATGGCAGTAAGTTACACTGAACGGGAAAACTATGGAAATATGCAGGGAAATTTCTAGAGTGTCTTGAGCCTGTGCCTATGATAGAGAGTATGTTTAGTGAAGCAATTATGTTAACTGAAGCATAATAAGCAGGTCAACTTACTGTTCCTCCCTGGAATGAGTCGATAAAACAAAATCGGAAAATGTTGTTTGGTTAGCTTTCCCTCTCACTCTTCAGCGGTTCGTTCGCAGCTGAAATGAGGACAAATCTACAGAGGAAAAAGGATTGAGCTGCAGCGCCTTCTGCTGTTTATACAGAGCAGCGAACAGTTATAAGCTTTCACTGTCACATAAAATCACACTCCTATTTTGGCATATACCGGTACGTATTTTTTCTCATTTTGTACTACTGTATATGCATGCATTACTTTTTATCCAAATTGATAAAGTAAATCTCTCCTATACTTAGGACTTATATGCTTTTAGCTCTGTTTTGTTGTAGGTGACATTGTAGATTTCACTCACTACCAAGAGTGTTTTCCCTTTAAGAAACTGAGTGGGTGGATGGGAGAGCAGTTTTTCTTGGTGCGCTGTTCTGACCATAGACTGTATAAAACATTCTGACTCATAAAAATAAAATGACCACTCGGTCTTGTGTTGCAATAATTCTGCCTCTTGTGTTTTTGATTTCTCAGAAAGCTACTGCATTTAATTTTCAGCATTCTCTTGAGTCTTTACTGACAGAGCATTGTATACTTGGTAAATATACACTAACTTTTGACAAAATTGTTGGCTGTGGTGAAAATGATATGATGGGAATTAAAAAGAACATTTGTTATAGATTTTTGTTATAAAATTGTATGGATTTATATTAATAAATACTGTAGTAGACAGTGATGGTAACTATCACATGCCACTTTGATTGTGATATACACGTATATGGTGCTAATGATAGATTGTATCACGTATGTCATGTAAATAGCTATTCACAGAACTTCAACGGTACAGGTACTTCAAAGAATGCCATAATTTTTTGTCCAAAAACGTAGTATCATCACAGTATGTCCAAAAACATAGCATGGGGCGTTTATCATAAAAAGCATAAATAATGCACATTCAAAAACCTATCTATGTAGTCACACTTCTCCAACGAAAGAGGGCGCTGTTTCCACATTGATTCCACAGACGCTCTTGATGACGTACTGACCTCGTACATATTACGCGCAGGCATCGTTTGCAGAGTGTAGAAGTAATCACATTTGTCTATTAATATCAGTATATTATTTAGTGTGCCATATGTTATGTAAACAGAAAGCTTCCTGGAGTGGAAAGCGACAACGTTTTACGAAACATTAACCTTGAATCAGTCGCGGTGTGTAGTTTTGTTAAAACATATTTGTATTTTTGTGTCATTCACCTGGCTGTGCATTTTCACGAACCTAATCAACGAAACTGTCATTTATAGGAAATCGTGATACTGAAAGAAGAGTCTGCACTGCCCCTTTACGTTTGTTACAAAGTTTCAAGGGCAAGTTATCTCATGACTGCTGAACTCTTTAAAGTGACATTTGGGTCGAGCAAATGTGAATGTTAAAACCTTTATATTGAACACAGGCAGAATATTTTGGACCTTTTAGACATGCTGAAGTCATTCAAGCTTCTCTTCAACTGTAACCTGGTGTTATCACGCTCCTGCTCTGGATATGTGTCTCGAACGAGGTCTGTCTTTTTTAAATACAACCATTTAATAATATAAAATAGAATGCCATTTTTGAGTCCTGGAGTTAATATAATGGATTAAGATAAACCTTATTATAAAGACTATTTCTAAGAATCTGCAGTTACATTTGTATAATTGATCATTTGTATAGGCTAATTTTATTCAAAAATAATTCCCATGAGTGCAAACAGTCCTAGAGTTTTTTTCTTTCTGTGTTGATTTTTTGGGTGAATGGCCTAATTAACATAATTAAAAAATTCATGACATATTGATTGGCTTGATTTCATGTGCTGTTTTTGGTATTAACCCTTTAAAACCGCACGTATCATATTTGATACACGAGTTTCTAAGACATATATTGAGTCAGTGAGAGCAATACTTTCTTTGAAAACCTGTTGTATCTATTTTGATATGTGTATTCTGCCATCTTGTGGAATTTCACTGTACTGCAGGCAGTAGAGGGGTGATTTTTTAGCTTTTCAAAATGGCGGCTGCGATTGGATCAAGCCAGACGCTTTCGGCAGGAAAATAAAGGCTAATTTCAAGTTGTTAAGGTAAAAAATAATATTGGATTGCACCTGATATAATTAATTTAACACTTTCTGAATTGAAATAATGCATAATTACTTAATAATTTAATCGTTAAATTACAAGTAAATCGTGTTGGAAATTGTGTATCAAATTTGATACTGCAGGTATTAATGGTGCTTTATGTCTAAACAGTAACGTCAAATTGTAGTAATGTTATCTACTTTATGACTACCACAATGCAAACACACACAATATTGGGATGATTCAATTAATGGCAATTAATGACTGAAATGCCATATTAAAATATATATTGTGTTAAAAATGCACATATTAAATTTGAAACTGCAGGTATAAGGTTCTTTATCCCTGAATAGTCGTGTCACATTTTTTTTTATGTAATCTACAATATGCCTACCACAATGTCATCTTACAATACATTTTAGGTTTTACAGTAACAATTCCTCTAAAATTATAATCAATATGCTGGAATCATCAATTTTTTATGTGTATTTTTAGATGTCAAAAAGATTAGAGGAAGAAGAGAGAAGAAAAAAGCATCTTCAAAATGTAATCGACATAATAACGGATGGCAATTCAAGTGACCTAGAGCAGTTAGAGGAGGATGATGATGATGAGGAATGGATTCCTCAGGCCATGCATGATGATGGAAGTTCAGACAGCAGTGATGAGGAAGATTATCAAGTCGAAAGTGTAGTCCAGAGCAGCATAGAAGTTGAGGTCCCAACAACACAGGACACATTCAAAAAGCAGTCGGTGAAGGATAATGCAAAAAAGAAAGAATACAGATGGAGAAAAAAACAATTTCAACCTCCATCTGTCGATTTCATTGTATCTGATGAGGAAGGGACAGAAGACAGGTGTAACTGGACTCCATACATGTATTTCAAACAGTTTGTCACTGATGAAATGCTACAGGAAACGGCAGAACAAACAAATCTGTACAGCGTACAAAAAGAGGGCAAGTCAGTAAACACAACTGCCAAAGAGGTAGAGAAGGTTCTAGGCATGTACATGCATATGGGGTTAGTACAGATGTCCTGTGTGAGAGCATATTGGGAGATGGAGACAAAGCTTCCTGCAGTTTGTGATGTAATGTCTCGAGATCGGTTTCTGAAATTGCTAACACTGATTCACTTTCAGGACAATTTCAGTGTTTCTGATGATGCAAAGAAAGATAAACTGTGGAAGCTTAGGCCATGGTTACAAAACCTGCGAGAACAGTTTCTTTGCATACCTCCTGAAGAATGTCATGCAGTAGATGAAATTATGGTGCCATTCAAGGGAAAATCTCATCTACGTGTCTACATGCCTGCAAAACCACACAAATGGGGTTTTAAGATGTGGGGACGTGCAGGACAAAGTGGCTTTCTTTATGACTTTGATGTTTGTCAAGGTGCAGAACATCAAGACAGAGAAAAATCAGAAGTGGGTGTTACAGGAGAAGTTGTGCTGAAAATGACATCAACACTTCCAGCAGGAAAAAATCACAAGGTTTTTGCAGACAATTACTTTACATCAGTTCCCCTGGTGCAGCACCTAAAGGAGAGAGAAATCCACTACGTTGGCACAATCCGGATGAACAGGATGGCCAACTGCACCATGATGGATGAAAGGGAAATGAAGAAACATGGAAGAGGGTCAATGGACTTCAGAGTGAACCAGGACAACAACATCATTGTAAGATGGTTTGACAACAAAGCAGTGAACCTGATTTCTTCATTTGTGGGTATTGAACCTGTGGGAAATGTGAAACGTTGGGATCGCAAATCCAAAACTCACATAATGGTTCCCAGACCAGCCATCGTTGAAGCATATAACAAGTTCATGGGAGGCGTCGATCTCCTTGATATGCTGTCTGCACTTTACAAATTCAGCTTCAGATCCCGAAGATGGTACATGTACATCTGGTGGCACACTGTTACAGTGGCAGTCATCAATGCGTGGAACCTCTACAGAAGAGACCAGAAGATGCTAGACCCCAAGATGAAAACCATGGCTCTGCGAAGGTTTCAAGCTTTGGTTGGTTCTTCACTCACAAGTGCTGGAAAGGCTAAAAAGGTTGGCCGACCACTATCCTGTCCAGAAGCAGCTCCATCAGCACCCCGTAAAAGGTCAAGCTGCAGTGTGCCCCTGGATGTCAGAAGGGATGCCATGGATCATTTTCCAACATGGGAATCCCGACAAAGATGCAAGCATTGCACCAACGATCACTTCTCACATGTGTACTGTGAGAAGTGTAAGGTGCATCTTTGCCTGAACAAAGACAGAAACTGCTTTCGTGACTACCACAAAGTAAAATAAAAGGACTGGAAAAAAGATCTATGTAAAAAAAAAAGAGAGAAAAACTGCCTAAAATGTTCTATGTTTTCAAACTGTTAAAGGCATAATAGATTTTTTGTATCTAAAATCTACACTGTTGTAAGCAAAACGTTCCCCAAAAGCCTGATGTATCAAATGTGATACAAAAAATATATCATAAACAAAATGAGTTGGCAAAATTTTTTTTTTGGATTTTGATTCAAGGCTTAATAAACATCTAATTTCCAAAAATATATAATTTTCTGCCATTTTTTTAATGTGTCAGGCTTTAAAGGGTTAACTGGTATTAATTATAAAGTTGTATCTATAATAATTCCCAGCATGAATTTTGGAGAAATATTGCTCAAGAAATTCTTTCTTTAAGGGTTAGTTCACCCAAAAATGATAATTTTGTCATTAATTTCTCACCCTCATGCCGTTCCAAACCTGTAAGTCTTTCGTTTATCTTTGGAACACAAATGAAGATATTTTTAATGAAATCTATGAGCTTTCTGTCCCTCCATAGACAGCTACACAACTACCAAGAGATCTAATCCATAAAATTGAGTGGTTTAGTCCAAATTTTCTGAAGAGATTCGATCGCTTTATATGATGAACAAAATGAATTTAGGCTTTTATTCACATATAAACATTTATCACGTGAGAACAAACCTCATGGGTTCTTGCGGAAGCTCAAAGGTGCTGCGTAACACAAGAATGAACCTCACTGGTTCTCGCACGTCAAGCGTACATGAGCTTCCGTTTACCACAACTGAAGTGTGAGTTGAATGTTTGTGAATAAAAGCCTAAATTCAATCTGTTCATCATATAAAGAGATAGAGTCTCTTCAGAAAATTTGTACTAAACCACTCAATTCATATGGATTAGTTTTACGATCTCTTAATGAACTTTTTGAAGCGTCAGAGTGGTAGTTGCGTAGCTGTCTATGGAAAGCTCTCAGATTTCATAAAATAAAATAAAAACATCTTCATTTGTGTTCCGAAGATGAACGAAAGTCTTACAGGTTTGGAATGGCATGAGGGTGAGTAATTAATTAAATAATTTTCATTTATGGGTGAACTATCCCTTTAGCATCTTAATATAATATAAAATATTCATGTTTAGGTACCTTATGAGACTAAGAGAGGATGATGAGGCATATCGAGAAGCACTGAGGTCTGGAAACTTTCTTCTGTATCATAAGCTTGCTCCTCTACTGCAGAAGACCAACAGCGGCGTTTACAAACTGGCATGTCTGAAAACCTCAGGTCTCAATACAACACCACTTGAACTCTTCCATAACATAAATTAAAAGTTTTTGGATATAAGTTTGTATGTTTGTATGCCAATTCCTCTAGATTTGGAACACGTACTGGAGAAGGTTGGAAAGGACAAACACTTTATTAACGAATCTTTTCTTCTGGGATACACTGACAAGAGTGAACCACAATTCTCACTAGAAGTGGGTCAGTAAATACAGCCATTACTACACATTACTATGAAAATATTTTAAAGCTGAACACACTGCAACTTAAAAAAATTATCACTATAAAATTTCAATTGCATTTATGCATTTGCCAAGTGCTTTTATCCAAAAGTTGCATTCGTTTACAGTACAATGCTTTGGTTTCGCTAGCTCCATGCTCTACAGTTTGAGAGACAGGAACGCTATAGGAATGGGAATGTGAGTAGTGTTTGATTGTTCCTGGAATGTTCCTGGACACTTTAAGTTCTTATTTCAAATATTTTCTATAAGTTTTCCAGGCCAGGAAAACAACATTCATATTTTCAGGTTTTCTGTGACCATGTGAACCCTATACAGTACACTTTATATTACTGCATGATACACTATATATATATATATCTACATTATATATCATCTCATGGAGATTTCTTCTCTATAGGTGATTTAGACCGCAGTGCATTGGAACAGGAGTGTAGAGGAATGTTTGTGGACCTCAGGAAAGCTTTCTTCATGTTAACTGGACTAGAGTCTGCTCTAGTAGCCAAAGTATGTACTTTTAAGTTTCTAAATGATCAATAATGCTACTGCATTGTGACCGCTTTGAAATGTCATGTTTTTGTCCCAGATGATATTTGATTTCAGAAAACATGGGGTAAGTAAGCAGGTTGCAGGTTCAATCATAGGTATCATCCATGAACTGACTTAGGAACTTGATGTCTCTCTGTCCCCATTACTACTTTAGGCAATAGTTGTTGTTAAACTGGATATTTACAATTTCTAAAGTGGTAATGTGAATGGTGTTTGCTTGCACAAATCTTCCTGTCAAGTCAAGTCAAGTCACATTTATTTATATAGCGCTTTTCACAATACAGATTGCATCAAAGCAGCTTCACAGTGATAACATGAAAGTAGTACAACACAGTTCAATAATATTGTTGAATATTAAATATCCCCAACTAAGCAAGCCAAACTTCCTGTCATGATGTTGGAAGTTAACCTGACAATCCCTAGTATGAACACTATGGCGTGATGTAGCCATCTTAACTTTAGCTCAATTGATTCTTAAAGGTTGTGCTGTGTAACTGGCAAATCTTATGTATATGTGTATTTCTTTTAAAGCTGTTTTTGGGATGTTTGTTGGTTGTTACATGAACTATGAATACTGACATATCTTACTGAAGTCTGCATGAAATGAAAATACACCCTTTTTTTTCGAAACGCTTTATTGATCTTATTGTGAACAATTCATCCATGCATATGTTTAATTTATTTTGACCTCATCATTTTGAATCAAAATGTCATGGATGTTGCGGTGAAACTACAGACTTCTTTCTGGTGACATAAGCAGAAATTCTTCAATCATTTAGTTTGCTTAAACTACTCCTCCCCTTTTTTACGATCGACTGTAAGCTTGTATTCAGATCTGCCTCCATTCAATCAACAACTGATGCATAGAACCTAGTCCTGCCCTACATTTTTTCTTTTTCAATAATCCGTTTCATTCAGATATGCAGTACGTCACAATATGGAAAAAAATATCTGTTGCTGCTTCCGTTACATTGTAACTTTTTTTTTTTTTATGCTAAATAATAAAGCAAAGAGAGCTATTAAATGAATAAAGTTGGAACCATTTGTATGGTGACCATTTCTAAGATGTTATCTGTATAAATACGGTTTAATTTGGTGTTTGTTTTAGGGACAGGCTCTCCTTCGATGGCATCAGACCAATGGCTTTTGCAGTGCTACGGGGCAGCCGACTGTCCGGAACCAGTCTGGAAGTTTCAGAGTTTGCCACAGCAGTGGCGTCACCTACTACCCCAAAGTAAGCAGGGGCTTTTCATGATGTCAGACAACAGGACAACTGCCACAATATGCACATACATCTGATACAAAGGAGTTTTGTATTTTTCAAATAATTAGTTTTATCTCATTTGTTTCACTGATGCTGATTTGAGTTATATTGATGAGCTTTACTCTGAAAAGGACCCCTTGGTAACACTTTATTTTAAGTGTCTGTAGTCATGTGGTAGTTAAGCATTAACACACCTGTAGTTAATGATTAACTGAACATATAGTATAATGCAATTTTATATTTGGAATGTTAGGCATTATTTATACAGTAGTTAAGCATGAACATAACAGAAATGATCTTTAGTAGTACTGTATTACTGGCAAATTTGCCATAACTACTGGCTTATTCTGGTGAATAAACTTGAACATCACTCAATAAGAACCGTACAAATCAATAATTAATGCGGAATAATACTTTTCACTTAAGAACAGTGTACAAAACTGTAAAACCAACACTTATTAAAAATAATAATTAATATTGTTGGGTGTACTTAATAGATGGCAAATCACAGAAATATAACACTAGATACTAAGGGCCTTATTAGACTGCTTAATATCTGCTAACTCTTTATTTTGATTCTCCAAGAGAGACATTCTACTGACTATGAGTAACTTTGCAAGTACATGTCAACTTATTCTACTAACCCAAACCCTAACCTAACCAAATATCTGAAGTGGACTGTCAAAATAAAGTGTAACCCTAAAAGGCATTTACTATACATTCAGTTAACCATTAATTATTGGATTATTTCTGCTTATTTATCATTCAAATGTTTAATCTTTCAAATATTTGATAAGTTATAAATATATGTTCAGTTAATTATAAATTACTGGCTTAACTACTGCATATTAAATGGCTAATATGCCTTTACTATTTGTCCAGTTAATTATCAACTAGTGGTGTGTTAATGCTTAACTACCATATAATTATAATTATGTACCCTTAAAATAAAGTGTTACCAAACTCTCAGTTTAACTAATTAAATAATGGTATTTTATCATTTTGCCAGTAGCTAAGCTAAGTAGTTATTTAGTCATTGTTTTACACTATTGTTTGTAATGTAATTACATCCTCGACGAGGGGGGGGGGGGGGGGGGCGGCGCTTGCTTGGACCAAGCAATTAGCTTGGACCAAGCAATTACAGGAACGTGGTTATTTTTTCATTTGCATTCACGCAGGCCAAGTGGCCATGGGGACTATAAGGAGGAGTAAGGGAGTGATGCAAGCACGGCAACGATCTTTACACCATAAAACTTCAAATAATAGCCGAGTCCCAAATAGACGCCTGTCACTTTTACACGCCTGGTATGGCGACAGGTTTGGGTAAATAAAGGCCGGTTTCAAATAGAGGCCGGGTCGGTTTTTTTTTGTTTCGGGTTGTATTTAATCTTTTAATACCCGTCGGATCGTCCGCTTTTTGGCGGCTGCCAAAGCCTTTTTTGATCGGTGAGTGTTGTAGAGTAGAATGACTGATGCGTTTGACACATAGTTTGACAGGGCGCAAACCATGGCGCAAACGAGCAGAGAGAGGGAGAGAGAGCGAGCGAGCCCCGGCCGCGCGCGCGCTGTCTCTTGCTCTCTCTCTCTCCCTCGTGCATATTAATCAAAATCAATGGACATGATAGTAAAAGGTTCGTTTCTTTATAATAGGCATGCTAATCACAATCATATAGGCTACCATCTGGGCCTGCACGGCGCCAGGAAAAAGACGCAGAGATGTAAGACACCGTGTCTCTACCTTACGATGAATTTGGTACACCAAAGGTAGATTTGCGCTCTGGAGTTCTGCTGGTAAACTCTGACATGACATGAGCTAACTAATTATCTTGGTGTAGCGCTGATATTGATATAGGCTAACGTTATATCACTAGCAGTTTTTTAGACGGTGTTTTTTTGTGCTGCGTAGGCTGAATCGTAATCGCGTGATTCGCGTCAAGACACCTGATTGGCTAATACTACACACCGAAGATAAATTAAATAATTTTTTACTTAAATAATTACTAAAAATACCCCTCTCTTCATCCCACACCCCAAACATGACATACAAAATGTTGTGGAACAGAAACAACAACCAGAGATATATTTATAAGCTATCATTTGATTGTCATCACAGTTTGCCAACAGGGGGTGCTGCAGCACCTGCAGCACCCCTACTTCCCGCGTCCATGCGTTTGTCCTTGACTTGCAGATGGCACCTGTAGTGATCGTGCTGGTGTCTGATGGGAGCAGATGTCTGCTGGCTCGCCAGGCCATGTTTCCTCCAGGCATGTACAGTGCACTCTCTGGCTTCTGTGACATGGGTGAGTCACACATATTACAAGCTGCTGTCCACACCATATCAGTCTGTGGGGTTACTTTACCATTTCGTTATTTTATCCAATCATTTTGCAGGAGAGTCTTTGGAGGAAGCCCTGCACAGAGAGGTGGCAGAAGAGGTGGGTCTGGAGGTGGAGAACCTACAGTATTCTGGATCACAGCACTGGCCATTCCCACAAAGCTCCTTTATGTTAGCCTGCCACGCAACTGTTAACCCAGACAAAACGCAGGTGAGACTTGGATGATGCCTTTAACTGCTTATTGTCATGAACTGCTCTGAAACACAGGTTGAAGATCCAACACAGCTTTAATAAGGGAAATCCACAATCATAATCCAGATAACATGCAGAAGGTCAAAACCACAGGGCAGACAATCCAGGTCAGAGTCCATGACACAGGCAAACGGGCAGAATATCAATACCATAATACAGGAACCAGGATAAAGCACTCAGAATTTGCCAAGTAAGAGTGAAAGCGCAGGGCTTATATTGGCAGCGCTTAACAAGCTAATCACACACAGCTGAACCTAATCACAACATAATGAGTCCAGGCAATGGTTTATGGGAATTGAAGTTCATGATGAGATAGCCCAGAAGTCGCCCTCTGGTGGAGGTTATGGGCAAACACATTAATTCTATTATTAAAACTGTATAAAAAAGAGTTAATATCAAAAATCTTGCCAAGAAGATTTCCATGTGATATTTTACCCCAAAATCAAAAGAAAACTATTTTGGTGGGGGCAAAATAATAATAATAATTTTTAATGGCAAAAGACACATTTCATTTGTTTATTATTATTTAAGTTTTATTTATTCATAATTGTGTTGCTTTTGTATTGACTTTAAGTTATTAACATATTAGCTTATTTTTTACCCTGCGGGTGCTTAATTGTAAAGAACATGTCAATGCAAAAAAAAAAAAAAGACGTTTTCTCTATGGTATTTTTTATTTTCAAGTGAAATTAGTAAAATGTATACAGTATTTCTCTGTCAATTATAGAACTCTGTGTGAATGAGAATTGGTTCAGTTGTGAGTCAATCAGTCAGTTCAAATGTGAATGAAGTGGATAAATACTATTTTGAGACCCTGAAAAACAATCAGGCATATCCAAATAAATGTTAATGCATTTAATTTAAAACAGCACAGTAGAGGCTTTGCTGTTTTATAACCTTTACCTGCTTTAACTGTCCATGGATAGGTGAATATAGACACGGCAGAGCTTGAGGATGCTCGCTGGTTCACTTTTGAAGAAATAACTGAAGCTCTACAGAAACCTCCACGCAACCCTAAAGGAGAGCCACCTGTGTTCTGGGTCCCACCTCCTTATGCCATAGCCAATCAGATCATTCAGGAATGGGCCAATCAGCAACAGCTATCAAGAAAATGACATGAACTAAAGTAACCATGCAACTATATGCATTGGATCTAGGAACTTAAAGAAAAAATAGATATGAAATCCTGAACAAAATGTATTTGCTGTTATAACCACAAGACACCGAGGTGGACTACTTGTGAAAGGATCTTCAGTAATATTCAAAGAATGACTTTTCTCATACTTGTTCTGGAATTTTTTTTATAAATTGAGAATAATTATAGAATGAGAAGATAATTATCATTGTATAATGATTTCATAACATGAAATATATTTGTGTTGATGGATTGCATCTGAATTAAGAAAACTGCACATCTACCTCAAATAGTACTAATCAGTTATACACTGTAACTGTTTTTGCAGAAAATTACTGTTATGAATTTTATTACAATAAAGAGAATACCAAGAAATAGTGACATACTACATTTCTTACATTTCACAATAGAATTGTTGTCCCTAAAAAGGGTTGAACAACATTTGGGAATATTCACACCAAGAGTAAATATGAATCTAAAATGTTCAGTGAAATAAGGATAAGTAGAAAAATCCATTCCTGTGTTTTTACACTGAGGGAAAAAATTCATCTGATGACAGTTTAATCTTTAAAAAAAAACTTAGACAGTTTTTTTTTTTACCAAGGGTGAAAATTAAGTAAAACAAAACAAGTTCAAATGCTCAGTTATTGGAAGTGGAAAGCAATTTGTATATTTTTATGTAACACATATAGGCCTACGTTCTTAGAAAAGGTCTAGAAACATACTCAAGCCAAAGGCAAAATCTGAACATATTCTAGTAAATCAGAAGATGCCTAAAATATAACTGACCTGTGCTGTGTATAAACATTATCAATAAGAGCTGACACAAAATTCAAGATGGGTTGTCATATTGGGAGAATTATGTTTGTCGAATGAAAAAAAAGTTACTGTGGATTTGAGTCTTAAAATGTCAATAACTAATAAAGTAAAAGTTTGGTTTAAATCACTGCGAAGATTGTATGCAGTAAAAGCATATTAAATTAAAAAATATTAAAAAGGGAGAATATTTTAGAAAGACTGTTGTATTGTTTTCAACGATGTGCATTTAGTCATTTAACTTTTAAATTTAGTAATCAAACATACATGATGTATTTTAAATGTATATTAACATACATCCTCCTGTTGTGTTTTTGTTTCGTTGACTGACCTCAACTGCCTCAACTCAGAGGGAAAAAACTAACCGACCAATCAGATTCATTCTTTTGCATCACGTGACCAATCCCGCCTCTCCTGCACACCTGGTGGCGCTGAAGCACTAAATCCTGTACTAATTCGTTAGAAGAAGAATGGTAGTCAAGATGGACGCGGAGCTCTTGTTGTTTTTGGTTTCTGAGAACAAGGAATTATTTGATAAAAACCACAGCGAGTACAAAAATACGAAGCGGAAAGAAGTGCTCTGGCAAGGAATAGCAGACAAAATGGGAGTCGATGGTGAGTTGTATTTGTGTAGCTTGCTATGTTGCGTTACTGTCAGTGCGTGAACAAGCTTCATCTAAGGCTGTGTGTTTGTACAGTGGAAGAGGTGAAAGCTAAATGGAAAAATCTAAGAGACACATACACAAGAAAAAAGCGACTGGAGCAGGATGGTAGTCGGAGTGGACGGGCAGCTAAGAAAAAGAAGCAATGGAAATATATGCGAGTGATGGACTTTCTCGATCCCTCCACAGAACACAGAAGGTATTCGAGTGTATTTTGTATGAAGCCTGTCTTGCACCTACAGCTATACTATTATATCAGTGCTTGAACAGTTTGAAAAGTTTCCCATTCATTCCTCTAAATGTTCAGTGTTAAAAATCCTACTGACAGCGGTGACGTTATTGTAACATTATGTACAGTTGTGCTATTGGTCCTTTCTTTCTTAAAATATTTATTTACTGGATCCTGATTGGTTCTTTCTTTCTTCATTTACATAGCAAATTGTGTAGTCTTTCAGTACATTGCTGGTATTAAAGGGATAGTTCACCCAAAGGGAAAATTGTCATTTATTCACCCTCATGTCATTCCAAACCTAGCGTAACACAAATTAAGATATTTTTAATAAAATCTGAGAGATTACTGTCCCTCCATAGACAGCTACACAACTACTCTGACGCTTCAAAAAGTTAATTAAGACATCATAAAACTAATCCATGTGAATTTAGCGGATTAGTCCAAATTTTCTGAAGAGACATGATCGCTTTATATGATGAACAGATTTAATTAAGGCTTTTATTCACATATAAACATTCATCAACTCACACATTAGTTGTGGTAAACAGAAGCTCAAGCATGTGCGCTTGAGTGCAAGAACCAGTGAGGTTCATTCTCGTGTTACGCAGCACCTTTGAGCTTCCGCAAGAACCAATGAGGTTCATTCTTGTTACGCAGTACGCAGACTGATCTCATGAAATGGCGTATGTATGACACGCCAATTCGTATTTCCATTTTTGGCGTGCTATCAACACGCATAATCGCTTTTCAGCGTGTTTATCAACGCCTTTGACTTAACGTTATATTACTGTATTATGTACATATAAATATATGACCTACCCCAACCCCGTCCCTAAACCTACCCGTCACTGGGGTTAATACCATTTATGAGTCTTCTCCTACCATCCTAGGAAAAGAAATATCGCTCCACAGATGTAGAATATAGATTTTGCTTCGTTTCGCTCGGACATTTAACGGCGTACACATACACGCGGAATCACTCGGACGTTTAATGGCGTAGACATACACGCAAAAGATTTCGGCGTGGACATACACGCGGATAGATCAAAATGCGTATAGATAACACGCCACTTGAATTGAAAGTGGCGTGTATGTTTACGCAAAGTCATGATGTCATGTTGCAGTACGTTTTAGCTTCCGCATGAACCAGTGAGGTTTGTTCTCGCGCGTCAAGCAGGTTAGGTTTATGTTCGCTGGTCAATGTTTACAGTAGCCTATGTGATTAAAAACCTAAATTCAATCTGTTCATCATATTAAGCAATCATGTCTCTTTAGAAAATTTGGACCAAACCACTCCATTCATATGGATTAGTTTTACGATCTCTCTATGAACTTTTTGATGTGTCAAAGTGGTTGTTGTGTAGCTGTCTATGGAGGGACAGAAAGCTCTCAGATTTCATTAAAAATATCTTCATTTGTGTTCCGAAGATGAACGAAAGTCTTACAGGTTTGGAACGGCATGAGGGTGTGTAAAATGATGAATTTTCATTTTTGGGTGAACTAACTCTTTAAGCTATGTTCAAAATAGCGTATTATCATCCTACTCATACTATTTCTGCTGTATAGTACACTTTTTATAGTAAGTGATTTTCTAAACGCAGAGCATACTGCAATACAATACATGCAACCTCCTATTTCCAGTGTGACCAATGTATTCTGTATGTATAACTATGTATTTATTGTACTGGCAAGAATTTTCATTTTCGTATAAAATTGAAAAATATTAAACTTGATAAATGAAATGCATTTTATGACAATTGGATGCTGCTTACAGAATTAAACATTTTACAGTACATGAAAGATTAGTACACTAATAACTAGACTTGTTTACATATAACTATAGAGTTCTAAATCTATAAGTATAGAATAGTTGTAATATTGGTTCTTTTTTTCTTAAATGATTTACATATTGGATTTGATTGGTTCTTTCTTGTGTCATCTTTCACTTTGGTATATTTACCAGATATTTTTATTATTACTAAAAATAGCATATTACCAAACTGCTCATACTATTTCAGCATTATAGTAAGTACACTTTATAGTAAGGGAATTTTCTGAACTCGGAGCACACTGCATTGAATACTGCATCCATTAATTCAATGCACACAGACTTGTCACAAATTAATCTTTTTTTTGTATTAGATTGAACTGGCTAGAATTCAGATATTTCATTATAAAATTGAATTACATTTTTGTTAAGAAAATATTTTTTTATTTTGCCAATGATAGTGAATAAGGCATAAAATGCTACTATTCCTCCCCGAACATAACTGTCACATTACTTAAGTGTAATAAAAGCATGAATTCCATGTTTTTTGTAGTGTGCACTATTATATATATACTTGACGTAAAACATTTTTCCGAAGTCTTGATCTTCTCGACTGTATCAGACAATTAAAATCGCAACATTATTTGTTTATACACACATTTTTTTTGTCAGTTTAATCACACCCATCTGCTACAATGTGCTTTTTTTTTTTGTTACAGAAATAAACGTAAAAGTGTTCTGATTCTACAGTTTACCTGCCAATTATTCTTCTATTTATTTAATCAAGTAAAATCCTTTAGTCTTTGGGAAATGGTGGGAAAATTTTATTTTAGGGTTTACACGGCAACGATGTACTAAAAACGGAAAGGTTTTTCGTGTACAGAATGATAACGTTGTCAAAAGGATCCCTGTTCACACAGATCCGTCACTTTGTAAAGAAACCCTACTTGCCTACAGACTGAACTCGTAATACGCATGACGTCACCATTTTCACAAATTCGTGTTTTTGCCGTTTACACTGAGACGATAACGGTATTGTTTTTAAAAACGTAGAAACTTGTAAGTTTGCGTTTTTAGGTAGTACCCCAAAATGTCATTATGTGAAATGAATAGCCAAAAAGCATAAAGTGTGTTGGGTAAATGGCCCCTTAATTTCATTTACATTTTAGCAATGGGTTGTATCATGCATCTGTTCTGTGTTGTAATGAAGCATCCAAAACCTCATGGTTATTCACAGTGGTTTTTACTGGTGTACAGTGTTATTTTGGACAGCATTCCCGGCAAAATCGAGGATGACGAGCCAGATGAAGACAGCGGGGCCGAACCAGCCAGCACCAGTACGGGAACGTCCCAGACAAGCCCAGGAGCTATCCGGTCTGGCATTGTAAAGAGAAGGCGATCAGAGACACTAGAGCTGTTGGAGAGGTATTTGGCCTCTAAAGACTCAAGAGACCGAGAGAAAGACGAACAACAGCAAGATGAAGTCGATTTATTTCTTCGGAGCTTAGCACCCGCGTTAAGACGCTTACCTGCTTCGAAGCAGTCCTTGGTGAAGCTTCAGATCCAAAAAATACTTCATGACGCAGAGTTTGGACAGCCGAGCTTTCCTCAGATTTCCTCAGTATCACCGAGTAATCAGTTGTTACTACAGTGTAGTGTTGTAAAACCCAGTTGAAATACTTTTTTATTGAAATAAATGTCACTTTAAAAGAGTGATTTCGTGCTGATTGTTTTGTATTTCCAATGTTGAGTGTTCTAGTCTTTATGCATTAAAAGGATAAGTATATAAATAGATTTGTCAAAACATAAAAACCCAAACCTTAGACTTTCATACTGATCAAAACAAGTTTATTATACTCAGATGATCTACTTGAACAATAATACATCCAACACTACAAAACCATGGAACGGGAAAACATATATACAAAACATGTTACAGTAACACTTACGTTACAGTAACACTTACATTCTCATTTGTTTCACAAGCTGGTATGAGCATGAAAACACAGAGCAGATTCACACTAATCTAATGCACTGGAATAAATGGATGAGAGTGTGTGTGTTAACTGTTATTATTCAGGTGTCTTATGGCTATCAAATGGTCAGTATCCATTATAAAGTGTCCTTTGATTATTATGTACATTTCTAGATTAGATCACAAGATAAATGATAACATTTGGTAGAAATAGCCCAGTCTGGTGAAACTACTTTTTCTTGCCCTTCTTTCCTGCTGCTGGTTTCTTGCAATATTTAGCCTCCAGATCTGAGATGAGAGAGTTGAATCCACTTTCTTTGGACTTTTGTCTTTGCTAAATAGAAAACAATTGTCAGGATACATTTTTTATTATTATTCATGCTTCTTAACAGGCGGTGACTTGAACACATCTGATAATAGCAGAAATAATGAGATGTACCAAGATTCGTCTTAATACGCTAAAGCGTTGCGGAGATACAGCCTCGCACCAATTTTGATGTGCCCTTCAATAAATTTGTTTGCACATTATTCAAGAACTGTTTGGTTTATGGAAAAGCTTTTAAAAACTTTTTGCCACGGCGGTCTAAAGATGATGTGAGCCAATTTTGATGAAAACTGGACAAACTATCTGGAATGAGTTACAAAAAGTAAAAAAAAAAATCGGTAAAGTTCAAAGGTTATTGGCATTAACATAAGTTCGCCTTTGGACAGCTGGTGGCACTAATGCAGTTTAAAGACTCAAATTGCTCTGGTTATTATTCAGACTGTCTTCTATCTGTGTGCCAAATTTCACAACTTTTTACCATACGGTTCTACAGGCAGCCATTGACTTGAGCGGAAGAAAGCTAACCGAGACGATAGGTGCCTATGCACCTTTGGTGCTTGTCTCCTGAATATATTAAAATACAAAAACGGTCATTTTAAATAATATTAAATAAACAATATTCCTGTTTTACTGCACGCTTGATCAAATAAATGCAGCCTTGGTAACATAAAAGACATCTTTCAAAAACAAAAAAAATCTTACCGACCCAAAAATGTAAAACTAGCATAGTTTTGAAAGATATTCAGACATTTAGCAGATTACAGCAGCTTCGGTTATACCTCAATTGTTTTTTTTTACCTTTATCATAGCTACCAGGCTGTCCTCACTGTTCAAGCCCATCTCCTTCTGCATTTCCTCTGCCTCCTTGCGCTCTTTTTCTGCCTAGAAAGACAGGATAACATTAAAAGGGCTTAAATCCTATTTCTTATCAAAACTTCAAAGCGCTCAAGTGAATCAGCACCTTTCTTTTGCGGTTGTTCTTCTTTTTGACACTCTCGTGAGTGAAGGCTTGGTAGGCCGGCACCTCTTCAGCATCAATGGCTTGCTGTAGTACATCTCGGACACGTGGCTCATCTTCAGAAGTACAGCACAAGGCGGACTCCATGACCAGATCCATGTCACCTTCATGTTGTAGGTACAGTCTCTTTAAGTCTTCTACCTCTTCATCAGAGCCTTTATACTGCTTCTCAAAGTCCAAGATCTCTTGCAATGTGATCTATGGCAGAGAAGTATGACAATCTTTTTTAGCATCTTCCTTTGGAAAAACCAACATGTAAAACAAGCACATGAAATACCTTGGGAAACAATCTTCTCCAGTGCTCCTCCCAATTGCGATCTTGATCAAGGGAGTCTGACTCTTCATCCACTATTCCCTGTTCGTCATAGACCGCCCTTTGGTCCTTGTCAGCCAACACTGCATAAACCTTTCCCAAGACCTGTGGAAATGATGAAAATGTTATGTTAAAGGATGTATTTATTAGATGACAGTTTAAATTTAACCTGGTGGTACTCTGTCACTTGACCACATTTTTTTAAAAACTTGTTTTACTTAATCGGAATGGTATGAAACTTTGTGACTTTTATGGCACTTGCAAGTGAACAACAAATTTGACATGTTTCAAAAAGACCAAATTGTCTAAAAATACTCCTGAATTAGAATGATTTTTTCCAACTGATGAACGATAAAAACATTGACAGCCAATCAGAATCAATCCTGCTTTCATAGCTTTCTAAAACTGCAGTGCGCGCTTAGAACATACAGAACAATATCATGAACTGGTGTGGACGTTATAGTTCTTGGTGTGAACAGGCCTTAATTTGCATAGAATTTGAAAGTCGGCATACAACGGAAGTTGCGATAGTCTTTTCTTGCCTATTGTTATGTATATTTGAGTGAAACGGCTTCTCAAACAAGAAAAAATGTAGGGCGGAACTTGATTTTGTCCATGGGGAATTGATTGGATGGTTGTGGTTTGCTATTGGTCGATCTCATGTGAGTGACAGGTTGTCCAGCCCTCGTGCCAGTAAACACATCATCAGAGAAGAGATGTAATTTCAAGTGTGAGTAGGGCTTCCACCCATCTTAACCTAGCTCTTTAACCATTAGACAAGGTTCTGAGAGATTATTGGGCAATATTATAGTGTTGCTTTACAGAAACAGTGGTTACCTGAAACTTGGTGGTGGCTAACTCATCACCAGGAGCTCTATCTGGATGAACCTGCAGAGAGACTTTATAATAGCCGCGTCTAATCTCGGAGTCAGATGCTTCTTTGCAAACACCCACAACTTCATACAGATTAGAGGTCTTGAAGAGCTCCTCACACTGCTCCAGTAAACCCATGACTGTGTGTGAGAGAAAACACACACCAAAAATCACCCACTGACATGTTAACTAACGTTACAAAACAATGCCTAGCATGCAAAATAATGCATGAGACTTATTTTAACGAGACACGTTATCACAAAAACCTTATGCTTAGAAGTTTTGAAATAGTTTTGTAGACAAATACAATTCCAGAAATACATGGATTTAACCAACTCTCGTAAATCTACCTCATTTTACAAAAACAACAGTTAACGTTAGCTGACAGCAACTCAACGTTTTGTTAGCGTTCTTACCGGAAACGTTTACAACTGACAGCGAAAAGAAACGTTTTCAAATGTGGCAGATAGAGATTAACAACTAAATGCTTTCAGAACACAGCAGCATTGGCTTCCCCTGGCAATAACAAGTCGCGCCAAAATGTTGGCGCGTTGTGTTCACGTCACAAAACGTCATGACGTAGGACGGCGCTTAGTTCAATTTAATGTTAAAAGTATACATCTACCACACAAATATCTATTTTTTCTGTTGTTATCCAAGTAATTTGAAACTACATATATACTATAATGAGAAAAAGAAGAAGATTATAACAGCCAAAAATTAGCTTTTATTATGCATTCTAGGACCCGGTTTGTAATTGTCTCACGCTGTTGTACTTCCGTGTACTACAGTCCAGTAAGCCCACTGTTTCCTAAAGTATGTTTACAATCGTTTGCTCACTTTAATGAGCTCTAAGTAAGTACAGGGCTACAGCGCGACTTCCAGAGGTGTGAGTTTTAGTTTCAGGCAGAATGTCTCGCTGTGTTGCGTTACAGACGCATCTGGCGTCAGTGGTGGAGGCGTTAGTTCACGCCGCGATCGCTGAAATGTACAAACTAATGGAAGAGGAGAGACTGTCATTTATCATTAGTGATATTACCAGCGACCAGTGTGAAGACGAGGAGACTGGGTCAAGAATGAAGAGGGGAAAGGAGGAGAGAATGGTGAGATTGTAAGATGATGTTGTTTAGAGATCTGCGGCCTGTAACCTTAAACATGCGACGCGTTCAAAGCCATATAAGCGTGTGTGTGCATATAGTATAAAGATCAGATCTCAAAGCACGTGAACGCATCACCATATCAAAGTTTTCTTTCTTGGGGGATATACTGTGTTTATTATAAATTATTTACACACGGACATCATTATTAAAAAAAATTGTGAAAATATCTGAAAAGAATTCATGTGCCTTTGTAATCTTTAATCAAAATAGCTTCCCCTCCTTCTTGACATCTCATCTGTTCTCTGATGACGTGTTTACTGGCGGGAGGGCGGGGCAACCTGTCACTCACATGAGATCGTAGCAATAACAAACCACAACGATCCTACAGTATCACACCACGCGCCCAGAGATAGTATTTTGACAGAGATAGAATTCATTGCGATACAATATTCTTTAACTGAAATATGGCACTTAAATTTAAGACATAGTTCATTAATGCTCAAGGTGACCATTATAATTAAACTGCTGACCAACTAATAATATATCAGACTCAAACAATGTCTAAAATATATATATACAGTGGTTAAATTGGGCCGGGGCTCTCCGGGGCTCAGCCCCGGCACATAAGCCTGCTCGTTTGCAGTCAGTTGCCTACTGGAAATTATGTCACATACAATTTGATGAAAGTGATGCTTTTGAAAACATATTTCTGACAATAAATGAAAGATTTTTGAAATGGCATGTCTATTTTGTCTCAGCGGAGCTGAGATGAGAACAATCGGAACACGGCCGTATTTTTGTTCAGCTGCTTAATCTCGTTGTCAGTCGACCATGATCGCGCACCGCTCGCGCATGCGCATCTGACACGGATAAATGTACACAGCAATAATGAATGTTCCTGGGAGACCGTGGTTGCGCGGGATGTGGATGTTCCAGAAATGTCAAAAAAGTGCCCTGGCCTTAAATGACAAGGTAAGGAAAATAAGACTAAATCAAAATTAAATAACCAGGACTAGGTTGACCATGTGATTTTTCTCAGGAGTTTTGAGCATTTTACTTCAGATACCGGGTTATCAGCAAACTGCCAAGAGAACTGCTAATTTAAAACGTTAGCTGGCTACTTAAAATAAACTAGCAATCTATTCAGTCAGCATATTTGTATTTGCAATTGCAGTTATTCGCGGAATTATCAACTTTACGTGGGTTGTGTAATGAGGCAACCACTGGAGCCAGAAATCAAAACTTTGCCTTTTTATGTGTGTGTTGTCGTAGTAAAGAGAGAGAATGGGAGAAGGAAGTTTGTATGAGGTGGACCTGGTCACCACAGACCCAAATCTTCTCAGCTGTTGCTACTGTCATATGCTGCACTGTCTCTCCATGTGGCACATTATGTTTGGCACATTGTATGGGTCACTATATCATAACAAGGTAATACAACGTGTAATCAAGTGATGACTGATTAACAGTAATGTAAATGTCCTAATACCTGTTGCAAAGTAAATGCTCTTAACCTTGCAGTTTTTCACATATCATGTAATACTCAATTTCTCCATTTCTTTGCACAAAACTCTCCAGAAAGTGGTATTTAATGGTTTATTTTTCAAAAAAAAATTCCCGGGGGGGCATGCCCCTGGACCGCCCTAGGGAGAGCACCCCCACATAATAAATCCCAATTTAACCCCTGTATATATATATATATATATATTATTGATGTCTTTTTGTTATTAGGAAAATTGTATAATCATCATCAGACTAAATGGAGCAACAATAATCAGAATAATAAAAAAAACATTCTTCTTGTTGGAGAAGTCTTTTCACTTGGATATCATACAATAGGGAAGAAAAGACTATCGCAGTTATGTATTAATGTAATTTGTGATCAACTGATATTGGGGTTTCAAAGGCCCATAATAGTGAAGCTTGTTTCTACCAAGGAGTAAAAAGATAACTACAAATAAATTTCAACTCTTTTACTTCTGGCAATTGTGGGTTTACATCTCGTAATTCTGTTTTGTTTTTCACCACAGAATAACAAAATAAAAAAGGGTTTTTGAGACTTATCTCACAAAATATTTTTTCTTCTCAGAATTGCGAGTTTATATCTCACAGTTCTGACTGAGTTTTTTTTCTCAGAATTGTGAGATATATCAACTCAGAATTGCAAGAAAAAAACAGTTTGAGAAGTCGCAATATTTATAATGTATAATTAAATTAAATATATTGTTTTTACTCTGTGGCAGAAACAAGCTTCCATACATTAATAGAGACAATGCAGTTTGGTAATAGCAAATAATAAATAAAAATTGTTGGAATTAAATAATTTGTTTTTAGACAAAAACTAAAAATATTTTGATTTTGAAACTGACTAACCCTAATACGGTAGAATAAACTGGCTAAAAATCTTTAAAAATGGCCAAATAGTGCCTAATTAATCAGCTGGTATATATTGCTCTATCACTAATAATTTGTAATTATTTATTCTTTCAGAAGCAGTTTGCATCAGTCATGGAAGTATTGGGCAACGAGGCTCTTGGGAAAATAATCAAACTCGTTGATGAAACCAAATTTCTGTTGGACCTGGAGTGTAAAACATTTTCAGGCAAGAGGGCAAAACGTCCCGGCAGTATCTTGAACATTCTGTCTGTTGGGGGACTTGGTAAGAAGAAATCACATTCTGTCTTCATAGGCATAAAGTATTATTACATTTCTGTCCAAGGGTGTATCACACACTAAATATCTTTTTTTTATTTTTTTTTTTTTATTTACGTCATTTGTACATTTTAGAAGAGGAACATTCTTATGATGGAAGTGCAAGAATCCTGGAGACAAGAACAAGAAATAAGGTAAACTGAACAACATCTACATCAAGGCTATTTACCAAAATGTAAAAATAAGGGCATGTAGGCGAGCCAGAATATTTTATCAACGGAAATCTATTATCAACAGAACACTGTTCTATAACATTTGTTTATTAGTATTAGTTTATTAGTCCTATGAAACATTTCCACTTAGCAGAACATTCAAGAAACTGCATGTATGTAGTTGATGTTTAACAGGAAGAGTGAACTTAAACTGATGGCAGGTTCGCATTGCACATCTTCACTGTGCTTACAGTCGTGTTGCATACATAATAAACACACCGGTATTGGTACACACAAGTACCTGTCATTCTGTTGTAGTTGAAACAGACATTTCAGTTGTCTGTATGTCATTTTTAGGGGAATTATTTGATGGCATAACAAAAGGTGCCACACTGATTTTAAACAATACCTGACAGTTGAAATGCACTGAGGAATTCACCTTAGATCACAGTGTTACAGTCTTACTTAGCAGACATTATATATTTTATTCAATATATATATATATATATATATAGATTTTTTCTATTGCTTGGTTTACAGGAATAGTTCACCCAAAAATATATGAAAAATTCTGTCATCATTTAGTAATCCTTATGCTTTATGATCTTGTGTGGAACACCAAAATAAATGTTCCTGAAAGAGTGGTACATTCGATTCACTATGTTCTTTATGCACTATATTTGAATTTTTATTTGTGGGTAAAAATGTGCTTATAACTTATTCAACAACACATTTTCATAAAAACATGTCTAAAAACATGAGAAAAGTTTTTAGATGAGAAAAACTTTTCTTTTTGACATGAGAAAAGTTTTTAGATGAGAAAAACTTTTCTTTTTACTTTTCAGTGACTTTTCTTACATGAGAAAAGTCACTGAATTGCTCTGCTATTTTATAATGAATTAATTACATAACTACTTTATTCTGTCAGTCTGATGAGGGCACAGAAGACCGTCCAGAATCCCCACTGACGTTGGCTGTGACGATCAGAAATGAATTTGGAAAAGTTGACTTGAAGTCCATCAGTAGTGGTACGTTAATAATGTCAATTTACAAATGAATGAGACAGTCTGTCTAATGAATCGGTCCAAAAGTTATCAATCTAATGAATAACATGCTGAATCATGCCATTACCTTCTGACTGATCTGATAGTTATATGGCAAGGTGCCAAAAGATTTTTTGGCTGTAATAAACAGATATTTAAATTTTGATTGCTCTCCTGTCAGGTCACTTAAACACTTCTTCAGAAGACAGAGTAGCATCTGTTCTACAAGAAGACAGCAGTGAAGATCCTCAAGACGCTGTTACTCTCTTTGGAAAGAGGTCCTTTATTTGTTCCGAGTGCGGCAAAAGTTTCTCTTCTCAAAGCAACCTCAAATCACATCAGCGCATTCACACTGGAGAAAAGCCCTTCGGCTGTGTTCTCTGTGGCAAGGCTTTCGCCCACAAACAGAGTCTGTCTGACCACCATCGAGTCCACTCAGGAGAAAAGCCATTTGTCTGTAAAGTCTGCAGCAAATGCTTCGGGAAAGCCGCGCACCTCAAAACCCACGAAATAATCCACACGGGCGAAAAGCCGTTCAGCTGCAACGTTTGCGGAAAAAGATTCAACATTGCTCAGAATCTTGCCAGGCACCAACTCACCCATACAGGTGAAAAGGATTTTCGATGTTCAATCTGTCAGAAAAGCTTCACACGGGCCATCACGCTTAAAACGCATCAACTCATCCACACGGGTCAGAAACCGTACTCCTGCGTGTCTTGCGGGAAGGCTTTCCGCCACGCCGTCAACCTTAAAAACCACGAGCGCATCCACACGGACCAGCGACCGTTCAGTTGTGACCTGTGTGGCAAGACCTTCCGCCAGGCTGTCAATCTGAAAATCCACAAACGGATCCACACGGGGGAAAAACCTTTCAGCTGCAAGGAGTGTGGGAAGAGCTTCAGTCAGCAGAGTAGCCTCATTTCACACGGACGCACTCACTCCGGAGAGAAACCCTTCGGCTGCAATTACTGCGATAAGTGGTTTAACAATACGAACAGTCTAAAGCTGCACCAGAGGGTCCATACCGGCGAGAAGCCGTACAATTGTGAGTATTGTGGCAAGTGTTTCAGTCAAGGTAGTCACCTGCGTACTCACAAACGCCACGTTCACGGAGGGGGGAAGCAGTACATCTGCGATAAATGCGGAAAGAGATACGCAGATCCTCGTAATCTTAAATTGCACAAATGCGTTTATGCTTAAACATGTCATTATAGAGATATTTGGAGCCCATTTTTCTTTGGTTTATAAATTATTGAAGAAGATTATCTGAAAATAGCTACAATCACATAGAACTTTTTTTATTCTGAGTTGTGAAATTTAGATTATTTATTTTTTTGGCAGTGGCATCATTCGTGGCCCCGAATGATGGATATCAATAGTTGTGACTAGCATAATTTTTCTCAACAAAATATCATGGTTTATTTCATGGAACATTTTTGATTTCGATTTTAGGATTAAGTAAAAGTTAGTTAAGAGTAATCAACCACAGATGAAAATTTATTTTGAATTATGTATTTATTTAAAATTAATATTATATTTTGTACCTTTCTTTACATGTGGATCCTAATTGAAAAAGCTCTTTATATAGCTCTTTAATATTTATTTTTGACGGAACACAAGATAGTTATCAGAACCACAGACAGAAAATACTACTAGGTTATGATATCTACAGTTCTGATCATCTATAACCCCTGATATTGACGTCTTATGCAAAAAATACCAATGTTAATTATTTATTTTATAATTCTAATTATTATTTTTGTCTAATTAATTATTATTTACAGCTACAGATGAGCGAGGTGTTCAAAACCTTAATTAAGACAAACTATTTAAAGCATTAGATGGCATCCATATGTTCAAGTACTTTATTACTGTTGTTGCCCTGTTTTCTGTCAAATCATTTATTTGATTCATGAAAATGTTGCCAAATACAGTTTTCAATAAACATTGTTATTGAAGATATTGTGTGAGTACCTTCATCTGCCTTTAAGTATAAATTATAATGCATTATGTTGGTGGGGACAGCAAAAACAGGAGAACTGAGTACATTGCTGCATGCTGCAAGTATTTTTGGTATGGAAAATGCGGGGTTGCACAGATTTTAGATTTTGGGCTCATTTGGTGTCAATTAACACATTAAAATGTTTATAAATATTTTAGGTCATGTTTGTGGGGTGGTCTTTTCCCCCTGTGATATATTATCTCTGAGAAAATAATGTTTTCAAAGATTATTTCAGACATTTTTGGGGGTCACGGTTTATAAGTTAAGGATTGCCCTTTAAGAACATTGTACTTATATGAAGAAACAATACTGGTTTTATCCTTCTGTGTTATGGTAGTTGATATGGTCGTTTTTTTACATAAAATGTATGTCTATATCCTGAGCATTTATTTTATGTTTTAGTACACCGTTTTATTTATACACTATTTTAAATAACCATTTTGTCTTCAGTAGTTCATTTTAAATGCTCCTTCAGTTCGACAAATTAATGTATAGAATACAAATATTCACTGTTTTCTCTGTTCATTTGAGACTATAAAGGCCGCAAGTATAATAATTATAAATGAGTTTTGTAAATGAGCATATCATATTAATATTCTCTCGACTTTTATTAAACTATTCGCATAGGAGTGTAACCAATCAGTAGGTAACGGTAGCTGAATCTCGCGCAAATTATTTTAAAAATTTATGTTTTTTTTTTCTTTTTCTGCAGAGCCACACAATCATTATATATACAATCATGCTTTTCAATTGTAACAACAACAACAAAAAATCTTTATTTTAAATGAATGTAATAATTTTCGATTGGGATCATTCATTCATTCATTTGCCAGATAAATGTGTAGTGTGCAAGAGAGAAAGTGAGAGACATGCGCATGCGCGCTGATTTTGCACTTCCGGGTTTGTCTTTAAGTGAAATGTAACATTTCACTTGTGATGTATGAAACTTGGTGTCCGGGCAGCGAATGAAAGGTGCTTATTTATAACTGAAGACAAAAGACACTGTGGCGGAGAATACTGTCATGCTCGGTCAATGAGACTCTCACTAGACTCGCTGTAATGGCCTGATGTTGCACTGTTGTGCCTTATGACCGGACGGACTGACAGCAGCATGACGTGCCTGATGTTTCTAGCGGCCGCGGTGTTTCTCCTGTCCGCTCCTGCGAGCGCCTCTCAGGGGGACAAAGAGCCCGTCTACCGCGACTGCGTCAAACAATGTGTCCGGACGAACTGCACGGGGGCCCGACTGCGCGGATTCCAGTCCGCTCAACCTCCATATATGGCACTCACAGGTACTATACTAACCTATTCGTATTGGGGAACACTAGCCTACTAACCTCTGCAAACTGCAAATCTCAATAGAAAATGTCATATTATTTTTATAAATTTAATTAAGTATTTGTATACTAAATTATTCATGGACACATTTTATTGAACAGTAGTTAATGTACATCTTGATATAAGTATTTATGAAAATATGCAAATCACGACAAAAACTTCCAAGGGGGTTTTGGGCACTTTAGTGGGGTTTTGTCATGCTGGAGACCAGTTAAACGAAACCAGCAGGCTGGTAGACCAGTCAAACTAGCTAGGAACAGCCAACAACCTTAGGCTGATTTAAGGCTGTTTTGTTTACAAATTTATTTTTTTGTCCTTTTGAAAGAAGGGTATGACCCCACACACCAACACACCTTAATTATTTCTCTTGATCATAAAGCACACAAAAAAAAAAAAAAACCACTCATTTGATGAATGACTATGCTCTTCTTAATTTTGTAATTTCATGAATATCAACATTTTTAAGATTTAGTCAGCTGAAACTGAGGTTACTGATCTAATTTGCATCTCTGGAAAATAGTGATATTTGACTTTCTATTAAATTGAATGACAATGTCTTTAGTGTCCAGTTTTTAATGAGGGAGTCAGGTTTATTGTCACTAATTAAAACTTTTAAAACAATTTCTGTTCATTGTAATACAATAAAATAAATATTTGTTAAACTAAATAAAATGTTGCTTTGGCAATATACTGAAATTAGTTGAATCACTAAAATAATTAACTGGAGATAATTAAAAACTAAATAAAACTAAATCTGAAATAAAATAAATTAATTCTAAATAGCTATATTTCACAAAAATATGCAAAAATCACATAACGAAATGACTAATAAAACTAAAATAACACTGGAGGGATTTGTGGACACATTAATCTTTTTATTTGTGGAGTAAAAAAAATATTGTTTTTATTTTTTAGTGAAAAGATAAAAAATTGAGCCTTGGGGTAAGAAGAATTGGCACAAAAAGGCCTGAGCGGCACTTTAAATTTTTTTTTATTTTTTTATTATTTAATACTACCTTAATTGTAATTCATCAGGGTTTTTATTCAGTTAGATGTGCATTTTAGACATATTTTCTATTCATTTATAGGCTAATTCAGTAGAAACATTCAGTTTGAATTCATATCGTTGCTGTTAAGACATATTTTAATTTAAAATATATTTATTAAATGTGTATATATTATTCATATGTCTATATGTCATATTTTTAATTTACCTTTTAGATTAATTTCTTCTCTTGTCTGTCATTTAGTTATTCAATAATTCAAATAAATTGTCAAAACACAATTTAAAAAATATGAAGCAGAACAACTGTTTTTAACTTTGATATTAATAAGAAATGTTTCTTGAACTGCAAATCAGGATATTAGAATGATTTCTGAAGGATCATGATGTGACACTGACTGAAGACTGAAGTAATGACGCTGAAAATTCAGCTTTGTCATCAGTAATAAATTACATTTTAAAATATATAACAGTTATTAAAATTATAACAGATATTTTAAATTTAAATGCAATATTTCACAATATTACTGTATTTTTGATCTATAAATACAGCCGTGGTGAGCATTAGAGACTTCTTTCAAAAACATAAAAAATCATACCAACACCAAACGTTTATTGTTTATATATTATAAAGTCATTAAAACTATGCAAACAAATAATAAAACAGGTAGTTCTGTCCCTTCAGAATGCGAATGACATAATCGAGTCAATATCCCTATGCTCTCAAAATACTGAAATGTTTGTATAAAGTACAGTAGTCGACATTTAAAGTGGATCAAAACCTTTCATCAAAGTTATACATGAATTTTGAACAATACCTGTTCTTGTCTTAGGACAACTTTGATGAACCTGTTTGATCCACTTCAAATGTTGACTTCTACATATATATATATATATATATATATATGTGCATATTTTGCAATAAACTTAAAATATATTGTTTTTATACATATAAATTAATCAACATTTGTAATTGAGTTTGATCCTCCATCGATTTTGGGATTGTAGTTATTTCCCTCGCTAAAACCGTTTAGTACACTTTTTGTCCGATTTTCAAAAACTTTTTTGCTTCAAATCAAAATCTGATTGGCTTAATTACTGGCTCATATTATAACTCTTTAACAACGACTATTTTAACATCCCTATGGGATAAATGAATGAAAATACTTCCGGAACCAGCGCTGCTGAAAAGGGGGTGGGCATTTTTGCTCTATAGCAGATGGTGATTTTTGTTGCATAGCTTATGTCGGGGAATATAAGTTTTAATGTAGGGGTCTTTAACCATGTTAGACCAAGAACCCATTGCTGGATAGGGAGACCGATTGTATATTTACATTTTTTTAAAACAATCATTGGTGTACCCCTGTTCTAATGGAAGGATGCCACATAATAAATTGTATTGAAGGAATATTCTGGCTTAAATACGTGTTAAGCTCAATCGACAGAATGTTGATTAGTCTGTGTTCAGACTTCCGACTAATTGTGTGTGTATAGTAAAACTTTTGATGAGATTTGGTTAGTATTGTACATTTACATGTCAATAAATTTTGTCCTGAAACCTTTCCTGTGCAATGGATGATTTGAAGTCGGTGATATTTCAGGCTGGACGTGTCGTGATGACTGCAGGTATCAGTGCATGTGGACCACCGTGGGTCTGTACCAGGCCGAGGGATACAGCGTACCACAGTTTCACGGGAAGGTCAGTGTCAGAATGTTAACCAATGTGAAAGGAGACCAATTTTAGTGACCATCATCATTAGGAGTCTTTAAAAGAAATCTGTACATTTCACCTTGATTCTACATCTTTTTTCCTATTTGTGTCTTTGTCTAGTGGCCATTTGCCCGTTTCCTGTGTTTCGAGGAGCCTGCATCTGCGCTGGCGTCTCTGCTCAATGGTCTGGCGTGTCTGCTGATGCTGCTGAGATACCGAAGCGCCGTCCCTCGTCAGAGCCCCATGTACCACACCATCACCGCCTTCTCACTGGTGAGACA